GGAGAGAATGTGGGTGAAATCGGCAAGACTTGGTGATGATTTGACTAATAAGTGCGGGAGGGGAGGCTAAGGATGATAGCTTTGCTTAACTTCATGGATTAGGACCAAAGGACAGAAAAGAAGAGAGCAAGAATTGTAATATAAAGTGTAAGCCCAGTTTTTCTTTGCTTGAATTTAATAAACATTTCTTGGTTTTTACTGTGTGCAAACTTTGCTATTGGTGCTAAGTATACTACTGCAATGGCTACAACATTACCTTTGAATTATGTACGTAGACAATATAATCTCAGGAAAGCTCCGTGTGAAATTGATAGTAGTTCTTATTTCTATTTTACTGATGGAACTGAGGCTTGGATGGTTAAAACCCAAGATTACAAAACTCAGAAGTAGCACAGTCAGTATGCAGTCCCAAGATAAACTCTTAACTACTTTATTATATTACCTCCCAAAGATAAATAAGACTGACTTTGACCTCAGAGAACTTACACATATATAGTCATATAATGTTAAATGCAACAACAGAAGTACACACTATGTATAGTGCTGGCGAAGGACAAAAGAATCATTAGCTAAAATTTAGCTGAAGAGCTGACATTAGAGCTGAGGCTAGAAAGATAAGTAGGAGATGCTCTACAGGTAGCAGAGGAGGGAGGAAAGGGTACCCCAGGCAGATAACATTTGTTATAAGTTCCAGGAGGCCTACAATTAGCTTGAGCTCTTTTGTTAAAGTTTGTGCATGGCACCAAAGTACACTGGATAGTAATAGTTTTGCTTTGTGACTGCAGGACCGGGCTTTGGAGCTGGTTTGTACCAGTTTGTCAGCATCTTTTTTTTTTTTTTTTTTTTTTTTGAGACAGAGTCTCACTGTGTTGCCCTTGGTAGAGTCCTGTGGCGTCACAGCTCACAGCAACCTCAAACTCTTGGGCTTAAGCGATTCTCTGCCTAAGCCTCCCAAGTAGCTGGGACTACAGGTGCCCACCACAATCCCTGGCTATTTTTTGGTTGCAGTTGTCACTGCTGTTTAGCAGGCCTGGGGTTGGGGTTGAACCCGCCAGCCGCGCTTTATGTGGCTGGTGCCCTACTCACTGAGCTATGGGTGCCAAGCCAGAATCGTTTATTGATAACAGCAAGATTGATGATTTGTGCCTGGTTTCAGTGAGACACCTGTCTTCCCCTCCCCCCCAGCACAGCGCGCGCGCGCGCGCGCACACACACACACACACACACACACACACACGGCCTCTCTTGTTGAGACTTGTCACATAGCAGGAATATGCTTGTGTAACCAGCAGAATATTAACCCAGCTAAGACTCCATTTTGGGTTCCCTGGTTCCAAGGTGTTTTCTTTGCACACGTAGGTGGTTCCAGGCCTGAATGAGAGTATGTGTCTGGCCTTAGGGCCTGGCCATAGATTGAGTTGTGGAGAACAAAGGAGCTCACTTCTGACTGTTGCAGACCACTTGCTGTGAGACAGCCTTTGGCTATAATATTTTTTATTATATTCTTTTCCCATAATAATCTGTAGATTTGTGAACTTTGTCATCTTGGCTCCTGTGATTTTTCTTTATCAAACAAACTCTGTTGAAATGCCACTGTTAGTGTAGTAAAGCAAAGACTTGTTCAGAGAACTTCTGAATAGTCCAGTATTTTAGGAGCATGGAATGAGGAAGGCTATCAATAAAAAAGGTGTTGTGACTGCCTGAAGGAAGTACTGGGGATTGGTGTGGCATTGGACTAACAGATTTGGATTTTTCTATAGGCCACAGGTAATTATCCATAGGTTTTAAATGAGGGCTCAGTGAGAGGATAAGGGAAAATGGGGATGTTGTTCCCACCCTGGGAGACGTTTGACATCACTGTGAGAGCAGGCCTGGTAGGTACTCACATCCAGTGGGCAGGGACCAGGGAAGCTGCTAAACGTGTTGGAGTGTACAGACAGCACAGGCCCTGCTGCAGAGAATTCTCCAGCTCGGAATGGGGAGAATGCTGAGGCTGAAAACCCTGGGTTAGAGGGAGACGAGGTTGGGTTGTCGGAACACCTTTTAGGCAGTTGTGTCAGTAGTCCTGCCTGGATTGTGGAGTAGGAGTAGGATGGATGTGATAGAGGTAATGAGATTGAGAGACTCTGTGACATGTAGTTTGGAATGAGCCACAGTTTCAATCACAGGTGATCAGGCAGGTGTAAAGGGGTGCTATGAACTGAAGTGAGATCCAATGTTTTAAAATTTGATTGGAGATAGGGCGGTGCCTGTGGCTCAAAGGAGTAGGGCCCTGGCCCCATATATCAAAAAAAATTTTTTTTGATCGGAGATGTGGGTTGATGATCAGCTCTGGTCCTGTTCAGTTTGTGTGTATATGTTTGATTATTTAAAGTGCAATGGTCAAGTATAAGTAATTGGATATATAAAATTGAAGCAGTTTTTGCCTGGAGAAAAGGTTACTGCCTTTTCAGCTAGGGTGGCGTGGTGGTTGGCGGTAAATGCCCAATTGATAAGACACTTTCATGTCAAAACATTTTATCTGTATATTTATATTTATATATTTTTACAGTTTCCTAAGTGCATAATTATATTTCATTTAATTATCAAAATGATCTTGTAACAGTTCATTTAGTCATCATCGCTGTTAGGGACAAAAGGTTACGTCAGTCACAGGTTCTTCTTTGAAATTCAAAGTCTGACCTATGTTCTGCTGACCTAGTATGTCAATATGCTAACCAAGAGGGTGTAAGCTTGAAAGTAACAAGCTTGTGCCACCCGATGTTGTGGTGGTTGAGACCCACAAGCCCATGACTCTTCCCATCATCTTTCTCAAGTGGATACCATCAGTCTGTTTCTCCTGTCTCCTCTCCCTTTCTTCCTGCTCAGTCCTTTCTCAGGTAAGAGATCTTCTACTTTAATCCTTCCCTCTTTGTCTCTTATTTGTCCAGTTATTCAGGAAGAATAGCTCATGCCTCTTTGAACAACTCAGATGGCCCACATTGTAACTGATTAGCATAAGCTCTTGAAAATACCCCTACCATTCTCTTAGACTCACTTTACTTACCAACTTTCTAAGTACAAGCATTCCAGATAATCAGACTTGTTTCCCTCTGTGTTGCTATATTTTATTTTTGCTTTAATCACAAGTGTTCGTACAATATTTTGTTTAATCCATTATGTTTCTCTTAGAAACAAGGTTATAAATAATAGAATAGCCTAATCTATTCTCAATTCATAAGGTATTTCAAAACAAAATATGTGTCAAATTCCACATAACTGACTATAGAAGAACTTAAGAACACAAGCTAGTTGTCATTTGGCAGTAAAATGAGTTTAAATTCTATGACAGAAGGGCCAGGCATGGTGGCTCACACTTGTAATCCCAGCACTCTGGGAGGCTGAGGTGGGTGGATTGTCTGAGCTCATGAGTTCCAGACCAGCCTGAGCCAGAACAAGATCCCATCTCTAGAAACAATGTAGCCAGGCATTGTGGTAGGTACCTGTAGTCCCATCTACTCTGGAGGCTGAGGCAAAGGGATCACTTGACCCCAGGAGTTTTGAGGTGGCTGTGAGCGGTGACTCCGTAGCACTCTGCTGAGGGTGGCATTGTGAGATTCTGTCTCAAAAAAAAAAAAAAAAATTCTATGACAGAAGTATGCATAGGCTGTTATGCTAAGGATTGACCTGTCATCTGCTTCACTACTGTGAACCCAAATAAGTGACTGAGGCAAAAATCTCAGTCAGTGTGGATTTATTAGGCCAAGAGTTTGGGAAGCACCCTGGGAGAAACAAATTGCAGACAAGCTGTGGCTGATTCTGAAAGGGAAGTTGGAACCTTCAGCATTGGGAAGGTGTACAGAGAAGAAAGAAGTCGGGGAGAGGAGATGGTGGCTACATTCTTATGAGGACCTAGAAATTTACATGTTACATAAAATGGGGGGGGGGTAAAGGAAGCATCAGTTGTAAAGACATCCCTGGGTAGGTGAAGAGTGTCTGATGTCTTGTCTCCAGTTCTTTTACCTATAAGACAAACTTGTAATTCCTTATTAGTGTGGAATCCCATAGGCTTTAGTTTTAGGTGCCTAGACATAGGTACAGTTTCCATTTTCTTGCTTGTGGGGAGTTAGGAGAAATTTCCTTAATGAATGATCTGCGGGGCCAGCTCGTCACAGGTTCTTGAAGCTTTGCAGGTGTACGCTGTGTGTGTGGTTGCTTGATGCTAATAGGAAACAAGGTGAGAATTTTTGAAAGGTGGATTTTAAATGGCTACAGTAAGCTTAGGGGTTACGAATATGACTTTGGAATTCAAGTTCTACCTGTGCTACTTACTAGATGAGTAATGTTGAGTAGGTGACTTACTTTAACATCAGTTTCTTAGTCTGTCAAATGGAAGAAAAAATAAACTCTTGTTTATTCTTATAGGGTTGTTGGGAGAATTAAGTGATATAATAGACCCATGTTAATTAGCACAGTTGTCTGGCTAGTTCCAAGTGAATAAAAGATTCTTTCCTACTATCAGGACAAAACTTATTCAGTTTCTGTAAAGTTTAGTTAAACTGAAGTCTGCCTTCCCAAGTTCCATCCACTGATGAAAATAAAAAGTCTTTTGCCCATAACCTTATTGCCATGTTAGTAGGAAACCTGGTTAATTTTTCAAATTTATTAGCTGCAGTGATCTTTTCTCTTTTTAAATCTCTTGTAGGTGATTACTGGTGGTCACTATGACGTAGATTGTCGATTAGAAGATCCTGATGGTAAAGTTTTATACAAAGAAATGAAGAAACAGTATGATAGTTTTACCTTCACAGCCTCCAAAAATGGGACATACAAATTTTGCTTCAGCAATGAGTTTTCTACTTTCACACATAAAACCGTATATTTTGATTTTCAAGTTGGAGAAGACCCACCTTTGTTTCCTAGTGAGAACCGAGTCAGTGCTCTTACCCAGGTAAATAAAAAATTAGCAGTATAATGTTGGTATATTTAAAAGAGCATAATTTAATGTCATGTACTAACTCATTGATGAACAAATTTTGAGACTAATACAATCTTTAAAATCGATCTTAATTCTTACAGATGAGGTATTTCACTGAAAACTTCAGACTCATAGTGAAAACCAATGTTAAAAGACTTTATGAACTTTTAAGTGTAAAAGAAGTAAGAAGCATTAAAATAGGAAGATCAGGTCGGCAACTGTGGCTCAAAAGGGTGGGATGCCAGCTCCATATGCCGGAGGTGGTGGGTTCAAACCCAGCCCTGGCCAAAAAAAAAAAAGGAAGATCGCTAGGGTAGAAATGTTAGTAGTAAAAAATTTAGGTAGGCTGAGCAGTCCTCAAACATTCTGGAGCATTTTCTGTACTTTGTGAAGCACTATTGCTACCATACTGCAGTGGGCTAATGTAACTGGAAATAAACTGACACCGTGATTAAGGTGTGGATATGGATTCGTGGTGGTCTTTATACTTGGGCTGAGTGTTACTCAAGCTGCTATTACAGTAACTTTTGCTATAACTTTAGGTAAAATGTTGAAGATTAATGTAAGTCACCTAACATAGCTACAAAGCTTAATTGGGTTTTTTTTTAAAATAAAATGAGAAAGATGATATAAGAAATTTAAAGCTAGTCACCAGGTGCTGCTCAGATGATGAGAAGGGCTGTTGTCATTTCTAATTCAAATATGGTACTGGTTTAGCCTCTCTAATCTGAAATGTTCCAAAACCCAAAACTTTTTGAGTGCCAGCCTGACCACAGACAGAAAATTCCATACCTGACCTCGTGTACAAAATCTTTGTTTCATGTACAGAATTATTAAAAATATGATATACAGTAACCTGCAGGGGGTGTATAAAACGTATATGCCACATAAGTAAATTTCATGTTTAGACTTGAGTCCAGTCCCAAGATATCTCCTTATGTATATATAAATATTCCAAAATCCAAAAGGATTTGAAATTCAAAACACTTCTGGTTCCAAGCATTTTGGATAAGAGAAGCTCAATCTGTATGAGCTTAGATTTTGTCTACAAAGTAGTCAATTAGGTATCCAAAGAATTTACCACCTACTTGTTAAAACCTTAAATTGGTATTTCATGTTCCTAGATTATATTTGGTTTGTTGGCCAAAGTTATGTTAGAAACAGTTCTAAGAATGTTTAAGAGCCTTAATTCATATGCCTATTTTAACCGCTAGCAAGATGTATTCAAATACTCTTAATCTTAGAAATGTTCTCCTTCAGATCATGTGTAAAATAGTTTTCCTTTAGAGCCAATAACTTAACCTGTATCCATTCTTTCGTGAATTTTAACTTGAGAAGGCAATTTGCTCTAGAAGGTAGATAAATAAAGGAAATGAGTAGTAATAAGGCAGTACCACTCAGCCTCCTTTATTCATACTATTTTTTATCATTTTTTCTTAGTCTTATTTCTCTACTTTCAAAAAGCTATTCTCTCACATAGTAGAGATACTCATAAAACAGTTGTTCATACTTTAAAATTGAAAAAAAGTACCAGCTAGTAAATTCAGAGTAAAGTTAACAGTAAATGCAGGATAAATTATCATTTATTTTTTATTGTCACTATTTTTTATCCATTAATAAAATGATAGATCTAGAGTAGGCAGTGATCACCAATCACTGCTAAAACTTTTAGGTGAAAGTTTGGTGGGGAACTTTATGGATCAGACTCATAATCACCTAAACCTGATGATTGTTTTAGAGTTATTTCTCTAGTTATGGAGAGATAACTAGACATGTGCCTTGCAATAATACACAATAGGAAGTGCACGACACTGACTACAAGGTGTTCCCAGAGCATTGTACCTGAATCCCATTAAGTCTAGCTCCTAGTCTCAATTTGCAGGAAACAGAAGATTAGGTGAGGTGGCTCGTGCCTATAATCCAAGCACTCTGGGAGGCTGAGGTGGGAGGATCACTTGAGGTCAAGAGTTAGAGACCAGCCTGAGCAAGAGCAAGACCCCATATCTACCTAAAATAGAAAAATTAACCAGGTATCATGGTGTTTGCCTATAGTCTCACACATAAGGAGTGTGGGAGGCCGAGGCAGGAGGATCGCTTGAGCCCAGGAATTTGAGGTTGCAACGAGCTATGACTACTCCATTTGGGGCAACAGAGAAACTGTCTCAAAAAAGAGAAAATACAGAGGATAGAGGAACATCATGAGAATATTTTGACTTACACTCTTACTATTGGTGAACTTACTGCTATTCTCTTCCTCCTCATTTTTCTTTGAAGAACGTGGGCTAGAAATTGTGTGGCCACTAACCTTAGCTGATAAGAATTACTGCTGTTGTTAACTTAGTATTCCATATTCCACCTTGCTGATACGACATCCTAGTTTGAAAACAGCGATTTCATGGGCTCTCTACTCTTACCAGTTGTCCTAGTGGGAATGAGTAGAAGGGTTCCTTTGCTAGGATAGCCAGTAGATGAATGAATGAATGAATGAGTGCCAGTTTAGTAGAATGTTAATCAAATGAGGACTTGAGATCAAACTGAAAGACAAGATGAAGATGCTAGGTGGCATGTCCAGAAAGTGTTAAACATACTAACGGAAAATATTTTTCTTTAGATGGAATCTGCCTGTGTTTCAATTCATGAAGCTCTAAAGTCTGTCATCGACTATCAGACTCATTTCCGTTTGAGAGAAGCTCAAGGGCGAAGCCGAGCAGAGGATCTAAATACAAGAGTGGCCTATTGGTCAGTAGGCGAAGCTCTCATTCTTCTGGTGGTTAGCATAGGGCAGGTATTTCTTTTAAAAAGCTTTTTCTCAGATAAAAGAACCACCACAACTCGTGTTGGATCATAACTGCGTTTTGAGAATTGACACACCATTGCCACTGTAACATTGCTGTCCTCTAATTAATTTTAGGTACTGAAGAACTTAATATTGGCAACAATTTTGAAACCTTTTGCATAGGCTTGTAGGAGGGATGTACAATGCATATCCCTAAACTGTGGAAAGGACACCTTTTTTTATTTGTAAAGGTGGAAAAACTTCAGGACTTATTTTGGGCTATTCATGTTAATATTCAACACCAATGATCTACTCTTTTCTCAGTTGTTTCTATCTATTCTTCACACACTAAACTTTGGTATTTTGATTCCTTTTAACCATTTAAAAGTACTTTTCTTATAGGTAGTCAATATTTTAAAACCTTAGATTTAATGTCTACATGTGTTATGGAGGAAGAAAATTGCCTTTTGATTGTTTATAGTAAATAAAATTTTTGCTTTTAAGAAAACCAAATGGGATTAACTATAGCCCAGCCCCTATTCTGCCTAGTTTAATTTTACAGGGAAACATGTATTACAGGATTGTTAGTTAATATTGATATAATTTGTAATTGATACATTGTGGTATAATTTATTTCTCATTAGCTTGGAACATGTCAAGATTTTTGGTTTTTTAGGTTTATTTTATGATTTATAACCAGCTACATTATTTTTTCATAAGGGCATTCTTACTACACAGAAAACAGTATGTAAACATAACAGAGTTTATAGTTTCTACAGGCCTTAAAAATCAGACTGTTATAACAGACTAATTATAGAATCATTTAAGACATTATAATGGGGGCAAATGAAATGGAAAAACTTCCATTGAGTTATCTGTGTTTATTACATTTTCAGTGCTTTTACAAAGAAAAAAGTTTATCTGTTTAATTGTAGCAATTTTAATTGGCTGGTTCTTGCCGCATCACTCCCCGTGTAAGTTGACAGTTGTACTGGTTTCACATTTTACCCTTGTGGACGTGACACACTGAGAGGTTAGCTTCTTTATTTTGTTTCTGTCTTGCACATTTTATTTCTATAATCTCTGGTTAGCAACCCTAAAATAATTTAACAATTCAGAGTGCTGTGTGCTTCCCGTTTGGTAATCTTCATTGATTGTACTTTAATGAGTATTAAATAGTGCATATTCTATATACTATTAGAGTTTAGACTGTGTTTGTATCTTATAACCTGTACAGATTGAGTTGATTGAAATAGGATTTCGTTCTGACTATTCTAAAGTAGAATACAAGACGTTGCAAAATTGTATAGATGTTTAAAGTTTTTCTGTTTTTTTTTTTTTTTAAATCCAGCTGCTTTTCTACCATGCCTCTCTTCCCTCCCTAAAAGTGAATCCTGAACGAGACTGTCACGTTACAGAGACTGTGATGTATGATGCCATAGAGTGCTGATTGGATGGCATTTCTAGTCAGTTCCTGTTGCTGACTAGAAGTTAACTCTTAACTTTATGCTGTCTTAAAATGCATATATACACTACTTGCACATAAGAGCCAAACAAATTCACATTGTCCTGCTTGCTGTAGTGATGTCAGATGCCACAGTAGCAAGGGGTGAACATGGTTTCAACCCTTTAATTTTAAGATTTTTGGAGACCAAATAGCTACAACATTTTTCAGTGGATTAAGAAGGAAAAGTTAAGATTTTGCAGATTTGTCTATTTGGATTCTTGTGTTGGATTGTCCTGCAGCTTTATAATTTACATTTATATTTGAAAGTTTTAAGCACTAATGTTAATGGGGTTGATAAACATAGACGTATGTAAAATGTCCTTTTCTGGTTGACCATCTACATTATTCTGGTCAGGTACTTTATAATTAAACAGTTGGGTATGGATCTTGCTGTTTGGCATAGATAGTGCACTCATTTAATCTGTGCCCTCAAACTTTGTGATATTAGACTATTACCACATATAATTTGAGAAAAGTATTGATACATTAAATATTTTTAAATCACCGCTTTTACCTGTTATAGAGAATAGCGTTGGCTTAGTCTAGTAACTGGTTAAATTTGGATGAGTAAACGCAACCGGATATGTATATATAAATTAGAAAATACATATCTCTCCAAACAAATGTTAAGTAATCTTTTCTTCTTCCTCCTACATAATTTGTAGCTCATCATTTTTCCTTAATTCTTTCATGCTTGTCGCAGCAGTTTGAATTTCCCAAATATTTATGTTTGGACATAATGGCTCAGAGTACATATTTGAACATCATAGTTGTATATATTTTTACAGTAGAATAAATAATGGAAAGAGAGTTGATATACAAGTTTATACTAAAATTTCAACTGTGTGAAGATACATTTTAAGATATTACTTTGCTAATAATCTAAACATTCTTTTTTCTATTGAAGAAACAAATGGTTCACAACTTTTCATCCAGGCTTGACGGTAATCAAATCTGAAAATACAGTGGACTGAAAAGCAGTTTTATTCTTTGAAAGATTTCATTTCAATCTCTGTACTGTCCATTTTAGTTTCAGTTTGTAAATGTGTAACATTTGTAGCTAAATAGGACAAAGCAGACCCTATGACTATTGTTTTCAAAAATTAAATTAATATATAAATAATTCAAATGGGTTTTTCATTTACTTTTGAAAAGAAAAAAGTTTCTCTAACAGGATTGCACCAATTTCTTGTAGAATAAAAAAAGAATCTTTCAACAAACTGACTGACTTGTTTCTGTCAGGGTTTAAATCTTCCTAAAGATCCTTGTAGACATACCACTTGGGAGTAGTTTTGTAAGGAGAGTGATTGTTTTTGTATTTTAGTAAAACATCTGAGGGACTGGCCAAGAAAGAGAGTCAAAGAAGAGAAGTACTGTGTCTCCACTGCCTCGTTTTTAACCTTCTCTTTGCATTCCTTATTGAAAGTTTATGTGGGTTAAAGGCAGGTAAGCCATTGCTTGCTCTAAAGAGGTCTTAATTTTTAAGTTAACTTTAGATTGTATAATACCCAGTTATGTCAACTATTTTTTTCTTCATGATGTAGTCAGAGGGGACATTATGGATCCTGGGCACAATTCTCCAAAAGTAACAATCTAATGAACTAGGATATTATTTCCATTTTACAGATGAGGAAATGGAGCCTTAAAGGGGTTAAGAAATCTGCTCATATCACAGTAATTAGCAGAATCTAAATATGAGCTATAGTGGCCTGTCTCCAGAGCTCTCAACCACTATTGCTTTACAAACACTATTTAAGAATAGATGTCTAAAGGCTTAGCTATCTTGATTTCTCTGTAGATTGATAACATTTCAGTGCCTTAACTTTGGAGCCATAGCCAAGTTCAAATAATGGTCGTATGACCTTAGATTTTATTAACTTGTATTTCTGTTTTTCATCTGCTACTGAGGTAATACCATATAGAATAATGAGAGTGAAATGAGATAATTCATAAAACACTTAGAATCAGTACCTAGCATAGATAAGCACTTAGTAGCTACATTTTTATCATTGGTCTAATTCTAGTCTCTTTATCTTTGTTTAGTTCCTAAAGTCCTCACTGTGGCTCCAGGTTTTTCATGTGGGTCTTAAACAATATTTAATACAAATATGAAAGTGTTTGCATGTCTATCATGACTATAATAGTCTGCTAGTAGCCCCCAAAATGAATAAGGAAGTCTGACCTTCAGGAATATATGTATGTCTGTTGGCAGAGATACAGTAGCTACATGAAGTAATGCAGAAGACTGGCCCAAGATATTTGTGAAGTACTAGAGGAAGAAAAGAATACTGTATATAGGTCAAAAGACATTCCTTAAGGAGGTTAACTTAGTCTCTACTAGGGGTGGCCCTGGTTACGTGGCTGTGCCAGTAATTGAGTTAGTTAATCTTTTAAGATAATGGGGGGGTATTAGCCAGTCCCTATTGCTACAGATTGAAAATGTGTTCTTTAACAATAAAAGTGCTGCTTGATCTCCAGAGTAACTTCTCCATCTCAGAGAAGTTCTCCACATTCTAGAACAGCAGTTCTCAACCTGTGGTTCAAGACCCCTTTTTAACAATGAAAATACATTGCAGCATTAGGAAGGTTGAGAACCACTGTTCTAGAGGAAAATACAAGGATGTTAGCCTGTTTTTATCACCATTAGTAATTACATTCCTTACTAAAATCTAGATTTATTAGAAGTAACATTGGGCTTACATAATCCGTTTTTAATGCTGATAATTACTAATGATCACTACTACTTTAAAAAGAAAAGGTAAGTTCAGAGAAGAAAAATCTACTCATAATTCCATCATTCATTTTGGTGTATTTCAGTTATTTTTATAGACATTTGTGTATTTTTAAAATACATTGGTATTATACTACCTATAACAGATTTAAAAAAAAATTTTAATTAGGCTTGGTGCCCATAGCTCAGTGACTAGGGTGCCAGCCCACATACACTGGGGCTGGTGGGTTCCAGCCTAGCCCAGGCCTGCTAAACAGCAGTGACAACTGTAACCAAAAAATAGCCAGGCATTGTGGCAGGTGCCTGTGGTCCCAGCTACTCGGGAGGCTGAGGCAAGACAATCAATTGCTTAAGCCCAAGAGTTTGAGATTGCTGTGAGCTGTGACGCCATGGCACTCCACTAAGGGCAATATAGTGAGACTGTCTCAAAAATTTTAAATTATAATACAGAAGAGGGTATTTAACATGTACAGTTTAGTGAGAAATAAAATTATAAAATACACATTCAATGCTTAGGTTAAGAAATACAACATTGCTAGTATTTGGAAAGCTCATGTGTATCTTTTCATACTCATATTCCTGAATTATCCCACTAAAGATAACCAATATTTTGCCTTTAAATAATTTTCTTTATTTGTATCTTACTAGTTAGGTATACTAATTCTCATAATTTTTTTTTTTTACATTTCCAAACCATCATAAACTGATAGTTTTGTAAGTGCACAGTCACGTGTTTGAATATACTGGCTGTGCCAAGTTGCTATCGGTATCTCCAAATGCTTCCTCTGTCTGCACGCTTACTCTTTCTTCATGTGAGTTTGTCTTCCTCGGCCAGTAACAAACAGTTCACTGATCAATGTGGGACCCCATTTCGGGTAGTACTGACGTCCGCATTTCTTAAAAATAGTATAAAAAATACCAGGCAGAAGTAAGCATTAATGAATAAAATTTAATACCTTATTAAATCCTATTTAATAGACTATTGCATGTTTCTTTTGTGACTGTTGCTCAACAGCGGTGTCATCATGATAATGCACTTGACTTGATGACATAACTCGACTAGTATGTTTTCATTATTGTGTGGTATTACATCATTGATATATCACAGTTACGTGTCTCTTTTGTGAGGCATTCGGTTTGTTCTAAGTGCTTTGCTGTTATGAACAAAGACACTGAACATCTTGTGTATGTGAGTGCATATATATGTTTTGCACATGTGTATGATGTCTTGAGAATATGGACTTGGTGGGTCACTACATATGTGTATCCTCAAGATTACTAGGTAACTGTGAACTTTCCCAAAGTAATTACAGTAGAATGTAATTAGTTACCGTACAAAGGTGGTCAACATAAGGAACTGGGCCTACTGTACTGATATATATATGTACTTTCTTGTACAGCTTTTATTAGAGAATATCATGAAATCATATATAATCAAAACATAGTAAAAACAAAATATATAAAATCAGTACATTTTCTGTTTTTTTCATGGTTTAATCATCCTTCTGAATAGTCAGTCTTGGTCCGTTTCCTGTTACAAATGTTCGTGGAGAAACCATTCTCAGCGCTGGCTACAGCACTCAGCATTTTTCCACAGCAACAACTTCAACTGCATTATTGGATTCCTGACAGTCCCTTCTTTTGGAGTCTGCAGTTTCTATGCAGCCTCATGTGCTTCTTCGACTTTATCAGCTGCTTCATGCATTTTTATGCTGGTCTGTACCTCAGTCAATATCACAAAATTGCTTCTGGGTCAGGTTTGTTACAGGTTGCCACCTCATCATCCATTGCAACAAAACATTCACAATCTACTCCTTGAAATTCTGCCGTGGGAGATAAACTGTCTGATGGTGCCAAAACCTTGTGCTCTTGGGTTGTGACATCCACCTTTCTTAAAACACGTCTGTATCATTTCTGGCCAAACTTTATTCTAAGCAGAAATGACCCAGAGGACAGCACCCAAAGCATTAACTGAGGCAGCAGATGAACTTGCTTCCCCAGGCAGACCACAGGTTTGTGTGTTCATAATGACCCACTGCAGGGGCTGGGCTCAGTAGTGCATTTTAAATGTTTTGGTGATGACTTGGTCAGGAGGTTGGATTCTGAGGTCATGTTTGGAAGCAGAAATTTGAGTACTACATTTGTGAGATGATTCACTTGAGGATGACCAGGACAGTTGTCTACTGTCAGTAAAATAGATTGTTTCTTCTTCATTTCTCAGTCAATACCCCTTACCCACTCCTAAAATAGGGCACCAGTCATCCATACACGTTTGTTTGATCTTTGAGTGATGGGAGGTCTTGGACTTCAGGTTCTTGAATATACGTGCTCTTGCTGATTTACCGAACACCAGGGGCTTTAGTTTCTCTCCAGTTGAGCTAGCACAGAGCATCACCTTGGAAATAAGTCTGCACTCTTCTGCGTTAGCGTTGCCATCTTTGAAGACTCTAGCAAAGTCTGGGAACTTTTTTTTTTTTTTTTTTTTTTTTTTTTGAGACAGAGCCTCAAGCTGTCCCCCTGGGCAGAGTGCCGTGGCATTACAGCTCACAGCAACCTCCAACTCCTGGGCTCAAGCGAGTCTCCTGCCTCCGCCTCCCAAGTAGCTGGGACCACAGGCACCCGCCACAGCGCCCGGCTATCTTTTAGTTGCAGCCGTCATTGTTGTTTGGCGGGTCCAGGCTGGGGATTCGAACCCGCCATCTTAGGTGTACGTGGCTGGCGCCTTAGCCGGTTGAGCTATAGGCGCCGAGCCAAGTCTGGGAACTTTTTAATGAACTCTTACAACTTTTTCCAGAACTTCATTGGATTCCCCACACAAGACTTTCTGGGAGATCTTGTGTTGCAATTCAAATTTTCGAGCCAACCACGTGATGCTTAAAATCTGTCACCCCGAATTCCTGTGTGAATTTTTTAGCAATGTCTTGGTTCTTGGCCAGAGATTCTGGCATTCACTGCCCTCATTTGTTTGAACCAGCTTAATAGGGCTTTACTGACTTAAGGGCAGTTTTCCTCCTTCCTGTTCAGGTCTCCACTTTGCTGGCAGTGCCTCTGCACGGGCTCTTGTTTACACGTTTGGATGTTGTTAATTGGGGTCTTGCTAATACCAAAATGTTCCACCATCTGTCTTTGGCTGCTGTGTTCCAGAAAATGTAAAAGAGCAGTATCTTTTCCTTCAGTGTCCCCTCTATGGTTGTTATCTTTGTGTCTTGTTTAAAAAATACTTCCTTGTCCTGAGGTCATGAATATCTGCACTGTGTTCTCAAATAGGTATAACTGTATCTTCCACTTCAGTTGGATTTTGTATAGGGGGTGAGGTACGTAACCTCTTTTCCCCCACATTTCTTGAAAACTCATGTTTCTCTGTCAATTGAACATGACACTTCTATCTTCTGTTAAATGCTGGTGTTTACTTGAGTCTCTTCCTAAACTCTGTTTTATTCCATGGATTAATTTGTCCTTACACTAATACTGTCTTAATTACTATAGCTT